TGTTTCACTTTGTCTGTGTTTCAGCTGGTCCGTGTTTCAGCTGGTCCGTGTTTCAGGTGGTCCCTGTTTCAGCTGCTCCGTGTTTCAGCTGGTCCCTGTTTCACTTTTTCTGTGTTTCAGCTGGTCTGTGTTTTCTGCTGGTCCGTGTTTCAGCTGGTCCCCGTTTCACTTTTTCTGTGTTTCAGCTGCTCCCTGTTTCAGCTGGTCCCCGTTTCACTTTTTCTGTGTTTCAGCTGGTCCCTGTTTCAGCTCCTCAGTGTTTCAGTTGCTCAGTGTTTGAGTTGAAACTAACCCCAGGAGAAACCCTTGTATCGTATGATGTGACTTCTCTTTTCACATGCATACCCATCTCTGAAGCAGTAGAAACCGTCAGAAAACAACTTCTACAAGACAAGGACTTAATCAACAGGACCAACTTCACCCCAGACCAGATCTGCACCCTGTTGGACCTCTGCCTCTCCACCACTTATTTCAAGTTCAATGACAGTTTTTACAGACAGAAGCACGGCTGTGCCATGGGATCTCCAGTGTCACCCATTGTTGCCAATCTCTACATGGAGGAAGTGGAACAGAGAGCCCTACACTCCTATGAGGGAACAACGCCAAGCCATTGGTTCCGTTATGTGGATGACACCTGGGTCAAAATCCAAGCCAAGGAAATAGAAGCGTTCACCAGACACATTAACTCGGTCGATAACAACATCGAGTTCACCAGAGAGGATGCAAATGACAACAAGCTGCCTTTTTTGGACTGTTTGGTTCAGATGGAGAGAGAGGACAGCCTCAACATTGAAGTTTACAGGAAACCAACCCACACAGACCAGTATCTTCTGTTTGACTCCCACCATCCACTAGAACACAAACTCTCTGTCATCAGAACTTTACAACATCGGGCCGAATGCGTTCCCACGAAGACAGAAGGGAAGGAAAAGGAACTGAAACACATTCAAGAAGCTCTTCAAACATGTGGATATCCTAACTGGGCTTTTGTCAAGTCAGAGAGGAAATCTACAAAACACACCAATAAACTGAAAAAGGAGAACAACAGACGTAAAAACATTGTCATCCCTTATGTTGCTGGAGTATCAGAGAAATTCAGAAGGATCTTCAACAAACACAACATCCCAGTACATTTCAAACCCAGCAGGACTCTCAGACAGAGGCTGGTCCACCCTAAGGACAGAACACCCATACACAAACAGAGTGGTGTAGTGTATGCGGTCCAGTGCAGCGAGGACTGTCCAGACCTCTACACTGGAGAAACTAAACAGCCTCTTCACAGACGCATGGCTCAACACAGGAGAGCCACCTCCTCTGGACAAGATCCAGCTGTTCACCTCCACCTCACAGATAAGGGACACTCTTTGAGGACCAACATGTGCACATTTTGGACCGAGAACACACATGGTTTGAGAGGGGGGTGAAGGAAGCAATTTATGTAAAAAGAGAAAAGCCGTCTCTTAACAGAGGAGGAGGCCTCAGATTTCCACTTTCAAAAACCTATAATGCAACTTTAGGACTGACACCAGCCAGTTTGACACCTGTCAGGAGTTCCAACCATGTGACCAGAGTGGCTCCTCTGTGGGTGGGATTAACAAAGACCCTAACAATCCTTTGTCGTGAAGCGTGAGAGGTCAATCTGCATGTGTCAATCTGCATTATGCACGCTTACAGAACACTGCTGCTCTGTAACTTGAATCCCACACTCCGTGTTTCTTTGAATTGAGAAAGCTCCTCGGACGAGAAGCAAAACTCTTCAGTTACAAATAAAGTCCAGTTGTTGTTTTTATTTAAAGTTTATTTTATTTGGACTGGGATGATGGTGGTGGTCTTCAGGCAGGTGGGAACTGTTGTCAGCGTGAGTGAGGAGTTAAAGATGTCTGCCAGCACCTCGCAGAGCTGATCGGCACAGTTTCAGCATCTTCCTGGGGATGTTGTCTGGGCCGGTTGTGTTGTGAGGATTAATCCTCCTGAACGTATGGACCACTTCAGCTGAGGTCACGCTGAGGAACTCCTTCTGGTGCTGGGTGGTCTGTTCGGGTCTACAAAGTGTGTGTAGAACTTGAGGGCATCAGGCAGAGATGGGTCTTTAGGGCATTGTTCACTCCCTCCTTTATAATCTGTTATACACTTAAGGCCCCTCCACCTGCTCCGAGGGTCTTGTGAGGTGGACTGACCCTGGATCCTCTGTGCACATGCAGCCTGGCCCTCTTAATACCAGCAACCAGCTCTGTCCTCGTCCTTCAGCTCCTGTCAGTTTCCAGACCTCAAGACTGTTCCTGGCTTCCAGCAGGGTGCGCACCTCTGCGTTCAGCCGAGGCTTCCTGTTCAGTAGCTCTTAACATCTGATGGTGGTGACGTCATCAGCATGACGGTGTAGTGGGTCAGTGTTCGGGTGGTGTTTTATAGGTTGTTTTGGATCATTACAGTTGTAGCTGCAGCAGTTCTATCTATGTCCTGTGTTGTTATTGTTTTAGCAGCTCATAATTTTGCATGGCTCCGCCTCCTTGTCCTCTCTGTTCGTTTTGTCAGTTCATGATTCTCGTTGACTCAATTTGGACGGATTCTACAACTCTCACCTTTGTCTGTCTTCCAGGTGCGTTGCCAGGGTAACCTAACTTATGTTGCCCTTGTGATGGTGGGTGGGGCTGCATGGCCCTGACGTGATAAGGAGATGGAGTCTCAGTCCTAAGCTCCTCCCCCTCTTCCTGCCGTGGACCAGACACAGACAGCAGCAGCTCTTCTCTCCTGTCTCCCTCTTTAACCTCTGCTCCTCCCTCCCTGTGTCCCCCCCCGTCCTTTCGACCATGCTATGGTCCGGCAGCTGGTGGAGAGCCTGAGGACGCAGACTCTGGAAGACGACCCTGCTCAGCCAGGGGACTTCCACCTGGTGAGCTTCACACCTGCAGTCTCCGTCTTCCTGTGCAGGAACTGCTTCTGAAACAAACTTTGTTTTTGGGTTTCAGTCCCTGCTGGACCCCAAACCCCTCGCAGAGTGCTGGCCTCCAGATGGCTTGATGCCTGGTGAGTGACGTGAGAACTGGAGCAGGACTTTAGAAGCCGACTGTGGTGGACCTGCGCATGTCTGCAGCCTCTGACGGCTGTAATCGATTTCTTGACTTGAAGTCTGCGTCAGGAGCCGCACGAGCGTGCCACAAGCTTTGCACATTTCAAAATGCACAAGTAATGTTCTGCAAGTACAAAATGTCAAATACACGTGCACAAATCACCTGCTGTGCACAGATCAGTCAACACGAGCGCACGGATCAGCTGCCTGTGACCGCTGCAGGTTCACAAAGGTAATGATGCATTCAAGGCTGGTGAAAAGCTGGGACATCTGAGCCTCAGCAGATCGATGTAAAAGCTCATGCTTTAGTAAAACTTGTGGCACGTGCACGGATCTTCCTGTTGGCGTACAAATCTCAGTGACTGCATGTGAGACCGCTCGATCTTCGTACACAACCGTCTCATGAAGTACAAAAAAATCCTTTGTGGTGAACTGGTGACATTCTGACCACGGGGTCCTCCTGCAGCTACGTGCTGAGGAGAAGAGCAGGATGCAGAGTTCATTGTGAGGATGATGAGAAAATAATGTTTGAACCGCTCGTCAGTCCATCAAAATAAGAGTTTCGCTCTAATGTCCTGCGTTTTCCACCTCGGTCTGAATTCACGGATTAGTTTTTCAGTTTGAAGGTGAAACGTTGAATTTAAAGAAAAGTTAAATCTTTGTCGTTTCCATGAAACAACTTGTTTTTCTTCCAGAGAGCAGCTACTGGCAGCTCTGCCCTCCCTCCAAGTCCAACCTGCAGGGGGGGTTACTGAGCTCTAGTTTCCCTCCCGGACCTGGACCCCTGGTGCCTCCAGATGCTCATCTGCAGGAGGGGGGCCACCCCCTGGATGGGGGCTCCTCTCAGCTTCAGCATCACCGGCTCCTGGCGCCCTGCACCTCAGCGTCTGATCTGTTTCTCCCTGGAGCGGCAGGGGCGGCTCCTCCTGGACTCGGACCCCCTCCCCCTCCTCCCCCGCCTCCCAAACGTCACTGCCGCTCGCTGTCGGTGCCCGAGGACCTGTCCCGGTGCCGCTACACGTGGCGGCCTAGCGCGTCCCGGGTCTGGACTCCTGTCAGCCGGCAGCAGTGCCACAGCGGAGTTGGGGGAGGGGCTGCAGGTGGGGCGATGGGCGGAGGGAGTATAGGGTCAGGGGCATCTGGGGGCGGAGTCTGTCCTCTTGGGGCCCCCAGCTCTTCTCTGAACTCGTCGCTGCACTCCTCCTCCAGCCCCACGTTCTTCAGCCTGGCGCTGTCGCCCGACTCCCCGCTGCCCTGGAGCTTCCCGTGGGACCCCAGCGAGGCTGCGGCAGGGGGCGGAGCCTGCTGCTGTTTCTTCCCCTCCCCTTCCTCTTGCTCATCCTCGCCCTCCCCCCTCCACCCGCCTCCCCCTCCTCAGAGGCGTTTCTCCCTCTCTCCGGTGCTCATCAGAGACTCGACAGCCTCCACCTTCCCTCCTCCACCTCCGGTGCCGAGCCAAGCGGCGGTGCCTCCTCCAGGCTGCGCCGCCACAGTCCGAGCGTCTCCGGGGGGCCCTGTCCCCGCCTCCCCCTCCTCGGCGTGCAGTACGCCGTCATCTCTCCGCCGCAGCCTGCCTCCACAGCTGCCGCGCTGCCACTCGCAGCCCTGCGACCTGCTGCTGCTCAAACCGGGTCTGAAGAGGCGCCGCGACCCTGACCGGCCCTGCGCCCGACCCGTTCTCGACTTTGTTAAGATGACACAGGTACCGAACCCTCCGTCTCGTTTGATTTACAGCATGAGATGATCCAAGATAAAGAGTAACTTTCTGTGTAAAAGCAGAACCTTGTGTTTGTGCTGGTTCTGTTGGTGAGTCCAACAGGCGCCCAGATCCTCACCCAGCCACGGCTGCTGAAGACTTTTGCACAGACGGTTCTGTCAGCTGACCTCTTCCTGTCGTCCACAGACGCGCAGCTTCGACCCGCAGTGCCTGGAGCGCGGCGGCGGCAGGCTGGCCTGCGGCGGTGACGTCTGCACGGGCGACTTCCGGGGCTCCTGCTCGCCGGCCGAGTGTCTGGGCAGGACCAGCATCGGCCCGCTGAGCGAGAGCGACGAGGAGTGCCGCGAGGACGAAGAGGCGGAGCCTAAGGAGCGCGAGGTGTCGCAGCAGGTCGTGTTCGAGAGGGACTGCACAGAACTGGACTTGAACTTGATAGAAGAAAACTGAAGTCTGTAAATGAAGACTGTTCTGGTTTTGTTTTATTTTGAAAAGGTATGACCCCGCCCCCCTCTTCCCCACTCAACACTCAGCGCCTTCTCTCCACCAATCAGCAGAGCTCTCAGGGACAACATCTTCTCCCATTGGACGAGCTGAGTAACGACAACAGTGATGATGTGGCTGCCGGTTGCAAAGATTGCTGCTTCACCTGGAAGGTGCTCGTCCGGACGTGTCGCCCACCTGTGCAGGTAGACACCATGTCCAGGTGCTTTTCAACGCACAGCTGCACAAACCTGTGACGTGACGAACGCTGTCGTCCTGGATCGTCGCCTCGCTGACCTCCACCTGCAGCTCAGACAGGAAGTTGTTCATGAGATCGTGCAGAGCTCGTCGGAGTCGTTCACTAAATTCTGCTCAAGTTAAAACCTGTTGGACAAGCAGCTGTTTGTCTGCGCGTCGTAATGTTTTGGTAAACGTCTTACCTGTAACTGTAAACACGCACTTCCTGTCTGAGTCATGTGACCCGGTCATGGCGATGCGTCCAGGTTCTGCTGCGGCGTCCTGTCAGTCCTTACTGAGGGCAAAACGCCACTGATGCTGTTGTTGGCCTGAGTGTTCACGTGCGCGTGTGAACGCGCTCTGACATCACATCCTGTTGGTCATGTGACTGTGTTTGGACTGAATCCAGTTTTAAAGACTCATTTTTACCTTTCTGAAGGTTTGGTTCTGATCCGAGCGGCCCGTTCAGCTCGGACCTGTTTGTGAAATGTTCTGTTGACTCGTTCATCCGAGACGAATAAAACTTTTCTGAGGGAAAACAAAACTTTCAGCTTTTACTATAAATGACTTGTTGTTTAATTATGTTCCAAATTCAAAGTTTTATTTTTATAGTCTTCAGAATATCTGGGAGTTCAGCAGACATGTCGTTTTATTCTGAAAATCTCTGAAAATGATTTAACTTGGACTGGACGCTTTGGAAGGATTCCTCGTAATTAATTAATTTTTATTAATATCAGCCCCTTCCTTCTCAGATTCATGGCCTGCAGCAGATGTTAGGACATGATCGTTGGCACGTCTGGACTTTTGCTCCAGGTTTGACCTTTTGACATCAAGGGGGCGGAGCTTAAGAGTGACGCTGACCTCCATCAAACGGGATTCTGGCCTCATATTTAAAGGAAAAGACGGTTTCTGCTTTTTTTGTGGTAGTTTATAAATAAATAATGGCTAAAATGTAAGAAAAAAATGATTTTTTTTTTTTTTTACTTTAGTTTGGAGCAAGAAACATGAAGTAGTTTACTTTGAAACAATTTCTGTTTTATTATTTTCACAATAAACTTCAGATTGAGACATGAAGCCGGTCGTTCTTTGTTTTTGTGTGGAGGAATCGACCCGTCGCTCTGCGGCAGCTTTTCTTTCTGCATGAAGCAGAGACGGACCTCTGAACATCTTAAAGACTTTTATTTCTGCAGGTTAAGCCCTAGTTTTACCTACAGGGACCTCATGCTACTGGGAATTATTAGAGATTGTCTGTGTTGTTAATCCCGTGTGAATCGGCCATGTCGGTAATCTGTAAAGTAAAAATTCCCCCACAAATTACCTTCGATATTTGGCAGAACTCTGAGGTCCAGTGATAAATCCATGATCTCTCAGGGGCCCAAGGCAGTGAGGGCACAAGCAGAACATCTGGTTCTCTCCTGCTTCTCCCCTGCTATGATGTCATGTGGTGTCATGTGATGTCGTGTCATGTGGTGTCATGTGATGTCATATGATGTCATGTGATGTCATATGGTGTCATGTGGTGTCATATGATGTCATGTGGTGTTATGTGGTGTCTTATGATGTCATGTGGTGTCATATGATGTCGTGGTGTCATGTGG